GTCACAGCCTACCCCCCGTCTTAGCTTACACCCATGTCATAGCCTACACACGTTATAGCCTTTACCCACGTCATATGCAACTTGAAAAAAACGTGTTCGTGTACAATGGATAGTGATGGGGCCCATAGATACAGGCTTAGATCTTAAAACATAGAACTGCACCTCTCTCTTTGAAAGGGCTATTTATACCATCTGGTGGATGTACCTCAAACTAAGAGGATTGAGTCGCGTTCATAACCAACTATAACAATTTTTAACATTAGTATTTGTATTGTTTTCTTTTCCCACAATAAATATTCATTTTAAAGCCTGGAGAAATTCATAAGCCGACATGGTGGGTGGACGATATTAACCCCCTCCTCCCCCCTCCCCCAAACTCAGATTGGAAGCAGCTGCTTTCTTTCTCCTTCCCCCTTCCCCTCCCTGTGTGGACGCCCCTGCTCGGAAACATAGTCTAGAAGTAGATCACCGTTGCTTAATCCACATACGCTTATGAAATTTTAGTGGACTATTAAAAAAAAAAACAACAACCAATACATTCCAAATTATGTTAATCTTTGAATACTCCAAATGAACAGTGAATCTTTTTTGACGTGAAATGCAGTCCGTCCTCTGAGTGGCTATTAAAGATTTTGCAGGGAAGCTGATAAACCACTCGTTTCAATCCTTTCTTTTTTTCTTTTGAGGTGTGGGGGTTTCATATATTTAACTGATCTGGACAAAAATCCTAAATTAGTTTTATCCCAATCTGTTTCAGAATGTTGCGGGCGTACCTGAAACAGTTCAAAAACATACCCAAGTGGATCTTCAGGTACGCACCCATCGCCATCAGTTTGGGACTCTTGCCTGTGATGCTAGGACCCATTGACAGATTCGTCAATCACATCATGGACAACACAGTCAGAAACATCTACACCTTGCCCAGCATGGCATGAGCAATGCACAACTTATCTGCTGGCCATCGCGCTAACAAAATCAATCAATGATGTCATTTGGAATTTATTAATAAATAAATCAATTTAAAAAAAAAAACCAACCCTTTCCAGGGCTTGATCGTGGAAATTATTTGATATACTTTAAGAGTATTGCACAAATGTACTCTGGGAATTTATCTTGGACGGTGTAAAGCAGCGGTTCTCAACCTGTGGGTCACGACCTCTTTGGGTTTTGGGGGGGGGGGGTCGAACGAACCTTTCACAAGGATCGCCTAAGACCACCGGAAGACACATATACTCTACAATAATTGTGAAGTATCAACGAAAATAATTTTGTGGTTGCGGGTCGCCACAACATGAGGACCCGTGTAAAAGGGCCGGGGCATTAGGAAGGTTGAAAGTGACTGTTGTAAAGCACCATTCTCTGGAAAAATCGTGAAGTTTTGTAAAAATACATTCACCCCAAAAGCCAAAGCCGAGAAAATCTGACATGTTCACAGTCACAATAACGGCTCGCAATCTTTACCTGTGTCATGCAATAGACTAACAAGTTGAGCATTAATGAACAAGGCTGCCAATGTTCTACCCTTATTGAGCAAGGCGGGCAATGTTCTGTCATTATTGAACAAGGTGGGCGATGTTCTATCATTATTGAACAAGTCTGGCAATGTTCTATCCTTATTGAACAAGGCGGGCAATGTTCTATCCTTATTGAACAATGCTGACAATGTTCTATCATTTTTGAACATGGCGGGCAATGATCTATCCTTATTGAACAATGCTGGCAATGATCTATAATTATTGAACAAGGCTGGCAATTTTCTATCATTATTGAACAAGTCTGGCAATGTTCTATCATTATTGAACAAAGCTGACACTATGTCGGTCCATTTGATCACAACACTATGCCGGTCCATTTGATCACAACACTATGTCGGTCCATTTGATCACAACACTATGTCGGTCCATTTGATCACAACACTATGCCGGTCCATTTAATCACAACACTATGTCGGTCCATTTGATCACAACACTATGTCGGTCCATTTGATCACAACACTATGTCGGTCCATTTGATCACAACACTATGTCGGTCCATTTGATCACAACACTATGTCGGTCCAAATACAAAGGAAACCAAATCAAATATTTACTGACGAAAAGAGCCGCATCTGAATATTGAAAGCCGCAGGTTGCCGACCAGTTTGTGAGCCGCTGCCTGATGTTATTCGTGAGGGCTGTAGTGGGGAAAAATAATTGTTAACGGTAAAGGTAACATTTTATTTATAGAAGACCAAAAACAACACACACAAGCAGCAACGCAGCACTGGGCAGAATCCATCGTCAGCGGATCTCATCACTAGAGGACCCCATCATCAGCTGACCCATCATTAGCGGATCCCATCATCAGTGGATCCATCATTGATGGATCCCATCATAAGCAGACCCCATCATCAGCAGAACCCAAGATCAGCAGACTCAATCATCACCAGACCATGATCAGTAGACCCCAATGATCATCAAACCCCATCATCAGCAGACCAATTTTCAGCAGACCCCATCACCAGAAGACCAATTATCAGTAGACCCCATCATCAGCAGAGCCCATCCATCATCAGCAGAGCCCATCCATCATCAGCAGACCCCATCATCAGCAGAACCCATCATGAGCGAAGAACCAATGATAAGTGTGAAAAAAAGAATGAATATAAAGAAGGAAACAAAATCCCTTAAATCCCTTTCTTTGAAATTTCTTTTGGAGCAGATTAAAGCATTGACTTTATCTGTAATAGTACCATAAAAAAACAAATTATTTATTTAAAAAAAACAGCAATTGTAATAACAAAACTAATAACATATAACATTTTGCATGTAACCAGAGCAGTGGCATCAGTCCTGCAATCACTTCGGCTTCACGGGGGATGGGGGCTCCGATTGTTACTGAATGGTGCCATAGTTTGATGGGGGGGGGTGGGGGTGGGGGTTGCTAACATATTTCCTTTGTGTTCATTTAGAGGGGGCTCTTTGAGGGGAAACCCTTGGACTCCTGAGATTTAACATTCGAACAATCAGTTTGGATAATCAAAGACTATAAACAGAAAAAAGGGGAATTCCCGTGCACCGAAAAGAACTCCTACAACATCCACATCTGAATTCAGGAAGCGTATGGCCCCCATTGTCTGTAGTTTGCCAACACAACGTGAGCTAATTTAAGTAAGTACTGTTGAAATTGTTTGTGAATGGATCTGGATTAAACCCAGGATACAGAGTTATGAGCACTTTACCGGGCTCACTTTATTATCCAGAGGGAAATGTTGACGGGGATTCAATTAAAAAAAAAATATCCCGTTCAGATATAGGGGACCGAATTCCCCAAATAAATGCCATAATCTGGATTACATTTGGTACAAACATATTTGAGATTACAATATTCACCACTGTCGGGGCCAGGCAAACGGATGGTCCTTTACTAAAAAGGAGCTCTATCTCTCGTGAATTTTTTTCAACTGATTTTATTGGGACAACTTCTAAATTTGAACTTTGCTCTTTACCCGAAGAAGTTGTAAAGGAAAGTTATTTCAGTGCTAATTTAAAAAGTCACCTTATAGAACGAGTACCCCGCTGGGACCCCCTCCCTACCGGGGCCCCAGTTCACCGGGGCCCCCAGCCCACCGGAGCCTTTATTTCAACTTTCAAGGTTAATGTCTTGGTATTTTGTTTAGATTTTTTTACGATTGAAATTTTGATGACATTAAAAAGGCATTTTTTACAAGTTAAAATATTTGAGAGGTATAAAATAAATTATGGAATTTTCCAAGCAAGTTCTATATATATGATGAAGATGATGACTATTGAATACTTTTATACCGCCTGTGTACATGCTATTTAAGCATGCCCACAGCACTCTGATGTCCTAAAATCTATTGAAAGAAAAAAAAGTCTTTAAATATTTCTGCAAATGATTTTTTTTTTCATTTTCAATTTCCCTCAAAGAATGAGTCAATTTGTTCCATAATTTAGGCATTATAGCTTCAAACGAGCACACTCCGTACGACTACTTCCTGTGTCCATCCACACTGGGAACTCTCTCCAATCTTAGTTGAAGACGAACCTGACCCATGGCGCATAGATGACAGAAACATGCCTTGACCACGGAATTGATAAAGGGATTCTCAACTTTTACTGATGCGATGCCAAGCTTCCGAAGATTGGCGTCCGAACCATACATAATTGACCCGGTCTTATCTCATTTAATCTAAGTCTGTTCGATGACGTGCATTCTTTCACAACAAGACAGCCAACCTCGATAGCCTGAACGGCAGCATTACAGTCCAAAGTATTAGGGTAAACCAATTGTACAGTTCTAGTCATCCGCAAATAATTTGCAGGATATATGACTTTCAATAATTCTGCCGAGCTGGCTAGTGTACGTGGAGAACAGAATAGGTCCTAAAACTGAGCCCAAAGGCACGCCGCAGGAAACGGAAGTGTCCATGGAAGATGCCTGCTTCACTGCAATACGTTGAATCAGATAAGAAGAAAACCAGTCAAGTGCAGTTCCAGAGATGCCTGCCTCATTCAGAGGTCTTGACAGAAGTAGCTCATGGTCAATCACATCAAAAGCAGCACTGAGATCCAGCAGGACCAATAGTGTCAGCTCGCCGCGGTCAGTACTAAAGAACATCATTCATGACACGGAGTAGTGCTGTCTCACAGCTGTGTCCCGGTCGATATGCAGATGGGAACTTATCAAGTAGGTCATAAGTAATAAGATGCTGCACAAGCTGCTGTGACACAACTCTCAATAATTTTAAATTCAAAGGGCGAATATTCTTGCAGTCATTTGGCTCCAGGCCACTTTTTTGTTTAAAGCAGAGACTTAACGACCGCCGCCTTGAAGAAGCGTGGTACTGTGAGCAGAGTAAAAGCAACTGACTATAAACAGTGTTCACCAGTACAGGAAGCATGATTTCCAGACAGTCCAAAACAATCTTGGTTGTGATGGGGTCAACAATAGAAGATGCAGGTTTAGATACCATGAATATATATGTCTCAACTTTTCATGGGAGACTAGAGAGAATTCTACAATGCAGACAAATCACAAAGTGCCCCGAATATTTTCACGTAGATATAAAGATTATGAACGACTTAATGTAATTAAGAATGAACATTTTATTATAATTTTATGGATTGCTATACTTTCCTGGGAATTTCCCCCGCATTGGTAAATATATCATTTAGAAGTTTCTTGAAGTTTCTACTTTATTCAAGAGCGTTCGATTTATTAATATGGGGCTTAAAATTATACAAATATCTTTTTCATGTTCCTTATGTTTCTTTAAGTCTCTATGTTTGTCCTCAAATTTTATGAAATTATATATATATAAGGTATTTTTGAAGTTTCTAGAAAGGTCCAGATGGGTTTAGGAGGCTCTTCGATGTATTTTCTTTAAAGATGGGCAAATTAGAATAATTAGGTAAATTGTTACATCTTGGTGAACAAAACCTTCCCATAATTCCTTTAAAATATCGATGGATTTCAAACTAATAAGCCATCTTTTAAAAGTTGTATTCCTCTTCAAATCATGGTTTTTAGCTGTGCCCAGATTGAATATTAACTGAAATTCAATGTTTACAAGAGTTATTTATAAATTTTGCTCTTTTTAAGGCTCAATTTTAAATAGGTACTTTAGGGAAGTTTTCTCCTGGGTACGCTTTAGACTTTGTTCCCGAATACAAACCCGGCCAAGCCGGGGTATATTAGCTAGTTAACTATAAATGCTAAATGCGGATACAGTGTGCAATAATGTTCTTTTTAATGTCATGTGCATGAGAAGTCTTGACATTTTATCTTTTTTAATAAAAAAAAATCTTTCCTGTTCTCAAGTGAGAAGTTTCTGTCTTCAATAAAATTTAGAAGGAAAGCCAATTGTTTAGTCACACATTCTAGTTAATGTAGCTCGTTGCTGGGGGAAACTGGAATAGTCTGAAGTGTCCTCAACGTGCTGACCACTTTCAGAAACCACAAGCTTCTGATCTATAAGCGAGCGTGACCAACGTCTCAGAACTTAGGAGAGTCCTGCACTCGCTACAGTCATGGCGGATGCCTTTTCTGAGCCACCTATTCGATTCCTAGGTGAGTGGGTTACCTGGGATAATAAAAATTCACATGTATTTGGGATACTCAAATTCATAGGTAAAAGGGTAACTCGATCCCAGATAAGAGGGTTACTCGACGATAGATTAGAGGGTTACTCGATCCTAGATAAGAAGGTTACTCGATCCTAGATAAGAGGGTTACTCGATCCTAGATAAGAGGGTTACTCAATCCTAGATAAGAGGGTTACTCGACCCTAGACAAGAGGGTTACTCGATCCTAGATAAGAGGGTTACTCGATCCTAGACAAGAGGGTTACTCGATTTATAGATTCTTCTCCGTAGCATTTCTAGCAAGCAGCTTCTGTAAATGAAAGTAAGTGCAAAGAAAAACTCTCAACCCACTGCTTCAATAACAGGAGAATGGTTCGCAAATGGCAAATTGATGTCAAAATGTTGAGGAAGCTCATCACGGGGTTTTGCGTATAAGATTACCCCGGAGATAGTTTTCAGCTCCAGCATTAACTAACTTAAATAAAATTTAGTGTTTATTCTTAAAATCCTTTGTTAAGCTGAGCGCCTCTTACATTATTTCATTGAAATCGTCATTTGCGCCTCTCCTATGAACGCAACAGACGCTTTGAATGGTGTTTTCTGATTGGCACTGCTTGACTCAACCATGGACAAACCGTGCTATTTTTTAAGTCAACACAAGTTTCAAATGAGCTGGGTCTCTCCTCTCTTCACAGCTTTCGGCATCGCTTTCGGAGAGGCAGTGTACAATGAGTTCCGTGACATGCGCGACTACTTGGACATCGTTGGTGGCTTGTTCATACTGGCCCACATGGCCAGCAAGATCTTGAGTGCGGTAAGTATGTCCACAATGGCCCACATCACCAGCAAGATCTTGAGTGCGGTAAGTATGTTCACACTGGCCCACATCGTCAGCAAGATATTGAGTGCGGTAAGTATGTTCACAATGGCCCACATCGTCAGCAAGATATTGAGTGCGGTAAGTATGTCCACACTGACCCACATCACCAGCAAGATATTGAGTGCGGTAAGTATGTTCACACTGGCCCACATCACCAGCAAGATCTTGAGTGCAGTAAGTATGTCCACACTGACCCACATCACCAGCAAGATCTTGAGTGCAGTAAGTATGTTCACACTGACCCACATCACCAGCAAGATCTTGAGTGCGGTAAGTATGTCCACACTGACCCACATCACCAGCAAGATCTTGAGTGCAGTAAGTATGTTCACACTGACCCACATCACCAGCAAGATCTTGAGTGCAGTAAGTATGTTCACACTGACCCACATCACCAGCAAGATCTTGAGTGCGGTAAGTATGTCCACACTGACCCACATCGCCAGCAAGATCTTGAGTGCGGTAAGTATGTTCACAATGGCCCACATCGCCAGCAAGATCTTGAGTGCGGTAAGTATGTTCACACTGGCCCACATCGCCAGCAAGATCTTAAGTGCGGCTCTCGTAAATGTTAGGTCCAGAACTATCTAGAAAACACTTAGCACAAAAATCGCTTCAAAGCTGCTCCTCTCTCTGAGGACTCTGTTCAAAATTACGACTTACACTCAAGAACTCGACAGTTTTTCATACCGCACAAATTAAATCTTGCTCCAGACTCATTTTAAGGAACAACGAAAAACATCAAACATGGATTTTCAAGATTGAAACAAAATATGTACGATGAGTGAAAAAACCCACTAATTTCCATTTATTTTGACCAATAAAAGTATCTTATCTAATATCCATCTCATCTTATCTTATAGGGCAATGGTCAAGCCATGGCAATGGGGGCCATGGACGCTCTGATATTTCACCTGATCGCCTCCCTGGCAGTCCCTGTCGTGGTGACTCGGTTCGTCCTCAGGTAATCAACCGTAAGATGACATCAGATCAGCTGGTTTTATTTTTGTATATCTGTCCATAAGATCTGAGATCAATTGTGTATAAACTCCTAGTACTTAAGTCTTATTGAAAGCTATTAGATACAATCTGTGCCACACCTTAAATTATTAAACAGTAAAAATAAATAAAATAAATACAATTTAATAAAATTATATTTAAAACATTGCAATAAATACAATGCAATAAATACAATGCAATAAATATCAGATGTTGGGGCGAAACAACTCCAGCTATTTCTAACATTTAGAAGTAACATTATACAGGGAAACCTAAAAATAACGAACCTTGAAATAACGCTGGCTTTTGCGCTAACTCTACCCGGTACGGGATGATTTATTTATACTAGTTGAGGGTTTGCGTTATTTGAAGGTTTCACTGCAAAAGGCAGTGCTATTTTAAGAGCTCAGTATAAGATTTAATATTTAATCATATAAAATCAGATTTCTTTCTCCTTGATAATGTTAGAGTTAAACATGGCATATTCTATTGATAGTTAAGTTAAAAAACACATGTCTGATGTGTGTTAAATTATTTGTTCAATTTTAAAAAAAATTGTTTGGTACTTATTTGTGTGTGCACATTTTTTCAGCTCTCATAGGACGAATGTGTAAAACAGTCAAATGTGTTGATCTAGGTTATCATTTGTGTGTTAGTAAACAAGGTAGTGATACATTCTACCCCCACACTCGCACACACATAATATACGCGTACACACACGCACACATATCTACACACACATACATACACACGAGCACACACACATACGCACACACACATACACACTTCCACAAACACATGTATACAGACACACATACACACACACACGCGCGCACACACATACAAACACGTGTAAACACACACACAAAGACGCAGACAAATAACCAACAACACAATATGACGTCAGCACTTGCTATATTTCTTATTCTCTTCCAAAAACTCAGAATGAGTGCGAATTTCATCCGGGAACTCCGCCTCGGGCGTGCGATTGTCCGCTACGCCCCGATGGTGTTGACCATGTGCGTGGTGGTACTGATGTCAGTCCCAGTGGACAATATCGTCAACAAGTTGTTGGACGAAACCGTCAGGAAAATGTCCAAATAAAAAGAACATGTGCGCATCTCAGCTGAATAGCCATCGGAAACATTCTCTGGATAGCCGTCAGGAACATTTTTGTGGATAGCCATCAGATAAATTATGTGGATAGCCATCGGAAAATTCTATGTATAGGCGTCAGAAACATTTTGTGGATAGCCATCAGATAAATTCTGTGGATAGACATCGGAAACATTCTATGGGGGATTCATCTCTTTCAATTCAAAGAGCAAATTCTGCAAGTGACCTAAGAAAATCTACAGAACATTTCTGAGAAACGTATACAAAGCTTGAGTATTTATTTTGAATGTTGAGATGGTTTTTTCCCCTAGCTAACTCCTGAATCAAGATATGTACTCACCAGTCGGTCGCATAATGCAGTGTCATTATGTGAACTATTACCATCTCATGTTTAAGCAATTTTTCCAAAATAAATCTTTCAAATTTTTTTTAAAAAAAGTTCAGTTTTAAGTGTATAACTAGAACCGTGGACTTATTAAAATTTAAATTAGGTTCTATGCGACACTGTCAATTTTTGTTAAACTGTTTTCTGTATTGGTCAAGATTTCTATTTTCAAGATTTCTATTTTCTTCAAGATTTCTTTATTAGTGAAGTTTTATATTTTAATCAAGTTTTCTGTATTCAGAAAACTCGATAGAGTTAGTTGAAAAGGGCTTGCAATGATCCCAGTAGAAGCTTTTCTATTAGTTCACTATTAGTTCACTATTAGTTCACTATTAGTTCACTATTAGTTCACTATTAGTTCACTATTAGTTCACTATTAGTTCACTATTAGTTCACTATTAGTTCACTAACATTTAGGGCCCACAAGATTTTGAGGCTTCAAGCAGCATTAGGTTATTTATTAGACAAATACAGAATGCGTATTGATGGATGAATTGCTGGGCTGGAAGATAAAACTGCCATATTGTGTTTAAACACACACACACACACACACACACACACACACACATATATATATATATTTTATATATTATATATATATATATATGTGTGTGTGTGTAAAGAATGTTCAACAGATGACTGTACTGAAAGGTTCCTTCAACTATGCATTGTAAATTGCGCAGCGCAATACCTAAAAATAACTTTTCTATACACATTTCCACACATTAATTTGAGCGCCATTGCAGAATGCAGTGCGTTCTGTATCTATGGCGCATTGGAAGTGATAACCCGTCTAGACCCTTCACAGGGTGCTTTTTTTTTCATCGTCTTTTTATTTTCTAGACCTTGTTAGGACAACAACAGCAGCAGCATCATTGGGCAGAAGTCACCGAGGTTGGAGGGGGTAGAGGGGAAGTATCAATATTTGCCATAAATCTGTTCTTATATACAGCGGTAGAGGTATGTCATTCTATCTATGCACATTTTTTTTCTCTCATAGAGTACCATTTTTATAGAATTTAAACTTTGATGATATGTTAAGAATCAGGAAGTTCCTTCAACAACGATATTTTAATCACAGGAGAGATAATCCGATAAATCTAGAGACAGGATTATATAAAGATTATATTTTCAAAATCTGCGCAACCCGCGACCGAATTCAGAAATGGTCCTCGGTCGATTTCGACGGCCAAACAAAGACATTTTGAGAATCATCAATGACACCCTGGAGCCCTGGCATCAATGGCTTTCCATGAACTTGTCTTGTTACCGCTAACTAAATTTGAGGATACACTTCTATATGGGGCTAAGAGAAGCACTCTATATAACTTAATATAACATACACTATAAATACAGTTGAAAGTGACGTAACACTTACATTTTCTTAAGACAGAACATAAAGCGTTGCATACATTCTTTTTGTGGCACAGAGTGCCTACGATGGCTTTAAAGCATAACGTTTATGCTTTTTAAAAAGTTTGGTGGAAAAGGAGGGGGGGGCGGAAAAGAAGCTGGGTGGTGGTGGTGATGTGGTAGTGGCGTAGGAAGCCTATGTGTCGCTCGAGACGAGCACAAGATTTTTTTCCCGCTCATTTCTACCAAGAAAAAATAATATGCAGTTGGACAAAATGCCGCCTCTTGATTATAAAGTAAAAAAAAAGGCAGACCTGGGCGAACCGCCCTTTACGCACCCCCTTTGCGACGCAAGTGGGAGGTGGAGGGGGGAAAGGGGGAGATAAACTGTCTTTTATATTTTGTTCTTTTTAAATTGTGTATATTATTATGTTTTAATTTGAAAAATAACATGTTTTAAGGGGAAGTTGTTGTTACTTTGTTAAACTTGAACCCAAACGACGTGTACACGTCAACACACATTTGAACACTACGAACTGTTGACAGCTCGCACAGCCTCGCTGATCTGCGGCTCTGAAGAAGGCTGTTTTAGAAGACGTTGAGCCGAACTGATACAGCATCATGCCGGATCCATTCATCGTCGTCCCCATTCGTCACTTAGGTAAGTCGTGCGAGTCAGGACCATTGGATGCGGCAAGACACGTTTGTATAGCGATCTAACTGGTAACACCATTCAGGAATAGTGCAAATGAAAAATCCTTTTTTTTCTTAGCATGTATAATTTACAAAGAAATGGATCCTTGCTCAAAAATTGTGCCTGTGCCCCCCCCCCTCCCCCCCCCCTAAAAAACCAACAACAAAACAACAACAACTGCTCTATCAGAAGTTCTTTTCAGACGTGTCAAATGGTTGACGCAAAATTTTAACGCGTGAACGGGGGAACAAAAAATCGACCAAACTTCTGTTCGATCAAAATTCCGTCGATCAATTTTCCGTCTACGAAATTTCTTTCAAACGAATCTCCGGTATACGATGCACAATGCATTTCAGACAATTAGCGTCATTTCTCTTTATTTCTAATGGACCATAATTTTGAAGATGTTAAAGGCATTTACCTCCTCCAAGTTAAAGGGCACGTGATTTACACGCTATCATGGAGCAGCTGCGTTTTGTTGTCAAATATTTAGAAAAAAAAGGAAACGATTGGGTGGGGTGGGGTGGGGGGTGGGGGGGAATGAAGTTAAAGAAATGTGACGTCAAACAGTGCACATTGTTTTTTTTAAATTTCTTTTTGCACAAATTTAAAAAAAAATATTTTCTTTTTTTTGGAACGATCTAATGGCCGTTCAAAATGATACGATTCTTAAGCAATGATTTTGACACGTGGAGCCATTAGGGAAATATTGGCGTTAGTTGTCACCATGCCACCCCCGGTCTTGACATTTGCTCTGCGTGCGCATAGATACAATCTGTTTTATAAAAATTTCATTAAAAAATTGAATTTGAAACACCAAAAAAAAAAAAAAAAAAAGAATAAATTATACTCATTTAAACAAGACCCACAACAGTTTAAAAAAAATTTAATAAAAAAATTGAATTGAAAAAACAAAAAAAAAAAAAAAAAAAGAATAAATTATACTCATTTAAACAAGACCCACAACAGTTTCTCTCAGGGAATAGTTTTGTTTATTTTTTAAAACATGTGACAACAATGGAATGCTTGTGTTCAGGCTCTCTGTCTCTTTCTCTCTCCCTCTCTCTCCTCTCACCAGGGCACGGGTTCGCTATCGGCGAAGCACTCACCTACAGGTTCGACACTGGATACATCGACGCGTGCAACACCATCGGCATCTCGTACATCTTCCTCCATGCCTTGCACCAAGGCTTTATCCAGGTGGGTGGCCCGGGGTGGGGGTGTGGGGGTGGGGAGGGGTGGGGGGGGGGAGGGAATCGATTGATTGGAGGCACCGTTCCGCTTCAAGAGTTATGTTCTACTGCAAAATATCCGTAGTGGACATTTTGAGAGGACGACTGTGGTATCCAGGTGGGTGGCCCGGGGTGGGGGTGTGGGGGTGGGGAGGGGTGGGGGGGGGGAGGGAATCTATTGATTGGAGGCACCGTTCCGCTTCAAGAGTTATGTTCTACTGCAAAATATCCGTAGTGGACATTTTGAGAGGACGACTGTGGTGAGTCGTGAAGAGCTCACATGAATATGTGTATCTCGGAGTAGCACTGTGAACATGCACATGGCACGGGAAGCTATTTATTGAGACATTTTTTTGGACATTTAGTTGGACATTGATTTGGAAATTCAGTTAGACATTTAGTAGGACATTTAGTAGGATATTTAGTTGGAAATTCAGTTAGACATTTAGTAGGACATTTAGTATGACATTTAGTAGGACATTTAGTTGTAAAATTCAGTTAGACATTTAGTAGGACATTTAGTAGGACATTTAGTTGGAAATTCAGTTAGAAATTTAGTAGGACATTTAGTAGGACATTTAGTTGGAAATTCAGTTAGACATTTAGTAGGACATTTAGTAGGACATTTAGTTGGAAATTCAGTTAGACATTTAGTAGGACATTTAGTATGACATTTAGTAGGACATTTAGTAGGACATTTAGTTGGAAATTCAGTTAGATATTTAGTAGGACATTTAGTAGGACATTTAGTTGGAAATTCAGTGAGACATTTAGTAGGACATTTAGTAGGACATTTAGTTGGAAATTCAGTTAGACATTTAGTAGAACATTTAGTAGGACATTTAGTTGAAAATTCAGTTAGACATTTAGTAGGACATATAGTAGGACATTTAGTTGGAAATTCAGTTAGACATTTAGTAGGACATTTAGTAGGACATTTAGTTGGACATTTATTTGGCTGGGGTTATTGCCATTTCCGCTATTACCAACATTTTGATTAAAGTTATAAAGAAGCCATTCGCCAGCCTCGCTAGCTGCGACAGTGGAGAGATATCTCTTAAGTTGTAAAGCCGATGCCCTAAGGGGGGACAACCCGGCAGAGCACAGTGATGCGAATCAGCCTACAGGTTATTTGATTCTAGCGTAGGCATTTTTTTTTAAAAACTCATCAGAGCCATGGTGCCTCCTCAGCATCCCGATGTAATTAGCACTGTGGACATGCGCATTTTAAACCACAGAAATGGCTAAACGTATCATTTGAGACAGCTGCGTGTTGTGAATCGGGTGGATGATGTTAAAAGTCAGCACGATGGATTATTGTACATTGTACATTCTTTAAAATAAGTTTCGTCTTTGAACTCCGCTGTGCATATTCTTAAAATATTATTTCGATTTATTGTTATTAATTTAACTTTAAAAAAAAAGAAGTTATTTTTCAGAAAGAAATCTGTCCTGGTTAAACCTGATTCAAAGTAGAATTATTATTTTTTTTAAACCTAACATCATTTGAACCATGCTTGACTTGAGACATACTCTCGACCTATAACATGACTTGAGACATACTCTCGACCTATAACATGACTTGAGAAATACTCTCGACCTCTAACATGACTTGAGACATACTCTCGACCTATAACATGACTTGAGACATACTCTCGACCTATAACATGACTTGAGACATGCTCGTGACCTCTAACATGACTTGAGACATACTCTCGACCTCTAACATGACTTGAGACATGCTCTCGACCTCTAACTTGACTTGAGACATACTCTCGACCTCTAACATGACTTGAGATATACTCTCGACCTCTAACATGACTTTTGTGGCTTTGTTTATTCAGATCACTGATAATATTTTTTTTTATTGTTGTTGTTGTTGTTGCTTGCAGCCCCACTTCAAGCGCGCCCTCATTGGTGTGTTCGACACCCTGGTGTTTGATGGCATCGCCTCTGCTATTGTACCGTCCTTTATGACGTACCACGTGTGCAGGTCAGTAGATTTGAAGTACGCTCATTGATGTCATAAAACAAGTAGGGTAAAGTCATGGGGCTCTCACCAAACAGCAATTTTTTTGTTTGCAATGTCGGCGCACAACGAGAGTTGGATACAACGGATAAGCTTCAATGTCAACTAAGCATTTGGGTTTATTTCAGATTTTAAAAAATGTAGCGGAAGTCGAGATAATGGAAGATTTTAATCTAATCTAATCTAAAACAATGCACTTGGCGTTCGAGGAAAATATCTTGGTCCAAGTGTAAAAATAAATAAATTAAGCTTCACGAACACAATATTTCTTTGTTGCAAATGTACATATATAAAAAAAAATCTGAGCCTGTCTGATAAAAAAAAAAAGTTTGTAAAATCTTTGAGTAAAGCGTTCAAATAACATCGAATATGGTCCAAAGAGCAGAAAAAACGCACACATTGTGACACAACTTTTTGTAAGCTCAAAGAGAGAGAGAGATTGAATCACGCCACCGCCCCGCTCTTTGATTTATTCGTGTTATGAAAAAAATAAAATAAACGTGATTACAGTCAATTAAAAATGGTGTCCATAGAACCCCAAGAGAGGGTGGAGTGAACGATTTCACCATCACATACGACACGCAACGGCAGCCAGATTTAACAAGGGAGATGACGTGCACTTAGGATGGATACATTTTTTTTTGGAAGAGTCCTGGAAGACTAAGAAGTCTTACTTACGGTGGCTGGCGTCATTGGCGTAGAATAATAATGCAAAGTTTCCCGGTGAATCTGTTCGTTTGGGTGTCAAATGAGCATGTTGTCACGTAGGAAACTTCTCTTTAAATAGTTCATGAAAATGTTTCAAGCTTAAAACTCTTACAAATGTTCAAAATGTAAAACACTAGAGCTAGTAGGGAAAATCTGGCTGGGGCATACTTGGAACACTAGAGCTGATAGGGAAAATCTGGCTGGGGGCATATTTGGAGCACTAGAGCTGGTAGGGAAAATCTGGCTGGGGCATACTTGGAACACTAGAACTGATAGGGAAAATCTGGCTGGGGGCATTCTTGGAACACTAGAGCTGGTAGGGAAAATCTGGCTGGGAGCATATTTGGAACACTAGAGCTGCTAGGGGAAATCTGGCTGGGAGCATATTTTGAACACTAGAGCTGGTAGGGGAAATCTGGCTGGGGGCATATTTGGAACACTAGAGCTGGTAGGGGAAATCTGACTGGGAGCATATTTGGAACACTAGAGCTGATAGGGAAAATCTGACTGGGGCATATTTGGAGCACTAGAGCTGGTAGGGGAAATCTGACTGGGAGCATATTTGGAACACTAGAGCTGATAGGGAAAATCTGACTGGGGCATATTTGGAACACTAGAGCTTGTAGGGGAAATCTGGCTGGGAGCATATTTTGAACACTAGAGCTGGTAGGGGAAATCTGACTGGGGGCATATTTGGAACACTAGAGCTGATAGGGAAAATCTGACTGGGGGCATATTTGGAACACTAGAGCTGCTAGGGGAAACCTGGCTGGGGGCATATTTGGAACACTAAAGCTGGTAGGGGAAATCTGACTGGGGGCATACTTGGAACACTGGAGCTGGTAGGGGAAACCTGGCTGAGGGCATACTTGGAACACTGGAGCTGGTAGGGGAAACCTGGCTAAGGGCATACTTGGAGCCAGCGCCTAAAATATATCTAGAGACAAATGGAATATTTGTGCCACCAAATTTTGTGTTGGCCAGTGTAATAATTGCGTAAAATTCGAAAGAGACAAAATGTGTCTAAGTAAGTCGTGTGTTTTTTTTTAAAGTAACAGGTGTATTGATCTAATTAAGAGGTTATTTGTCTAAGTATGAGGTCCGTTTGTCCTAGTAAGTGGTGTGTCAAAGAAACTGGGGGTTTTGTACTCATGCTCATTGATTTTATGTCTACCTGGAAAAAAAATGACGTAAGATTCCACGACTCAAAGTTATATAGTAAAGAACTAGCACCAAAAATATGTGTTTTCTTCTTTGCTACTCTCTGATGACATCATTTTTTAAAAATTCCACCGTGACACACATTATTACCTTTGGACCTTTTCTGCATATATTTATTACATTCTATGATTTTATGCGTATCCTGTAATGCTTTCTGCACCCCCCCCCCAACCGCTCATGTTTACAGAATCACTGCCAACGTCATGAGCGACATCCGGGGTATTCCGCTTGTCGTCAGAAAGTGGGGGCCGACCTGCATAGGCCTCGGGGTGCTCTTTCTCACATACGCCTACATCGATGAGACGGTGGACAAGATCATGAATGAGACCATCCGGACCAGCTACTGATGAACCACCATACCCTACCAGTGGGCCAGTGCCAAAAACCTAACAATAGAGAGGCGGAGCTGAAGCAGGACAACGCGCATGAGAGCTGGGCGGTCCACAAGACATATCAACATGATAGCATGAACGGGGATCCCCCTAAGAAGACGTCCAAGGGAACACGGATGCCGGATTGGAAAGAAAATTATTAGACTCTCAGGGGAGACCACCGTGAAATTAGGGTAGATGAACTCCAGTGGGCCATATTGATAAAATATTGATTGGGATTAAGAGAACAATGGTTTCTAATGATCTGCAAGACGATTATCCCATGGGGTTATAATTAAAATCATTTTAAAATCTTATTCACCAAAACTCTAAGATTATTCTGAGACTCCTAACAAGATTATGGTGATGGTTTTATTCGAGCCAAATTTGAATTGACGCTACAGAATAAAAATAAAACATTTCTTTAAAAAAAAAATAATAATTCAACCCGTTTTATATGTCAGCCTTGTGTTCCTGTTTTTTAAAGGTCTGTTAACAGTAAATGCAATTTCTTTAACATATAAGCTAAGCAGACTTACTGTTACTTAGTTGTCAAGCAAAGCAAATAAAGATGACTAATTACAAAACTGACGCGTTCTGACTTAATTTTTTTTTAAAATCAGTTATTCTGTTTCCAATATTGTCAAGACATTTTGTGTGTGTCTTGTTGGCTTAGCTAAGCTAGGAAAATAAGTTCTACGACTTAAATGAAAAAATTATAGTATATATATATATATATATATATATATTTAATAAGAAAACTGACATCGGTATTTTGAACCCACTCTGGTTGATGTTGGCCTTACGTAATGCATCGTTGTTTAAGGGCTTTGTTTCGGGCATCATCTGCCTGTTTCACTTCTTCAAACGCAGCTGTTCGCCAGCTGGGACGGTGCTCAGAGTTGATCTCCCATATCTTGATTTCTATGCTGCCCCCCCCCCCCATGCTCCCTTTGCAAGCGTCCTTAAATCGAAGCCGCCGCCGTCCAGTAAGTCTTGCCCCATCTGTCAACTCTCCAGACAGCGGTTTCTTTGGAATCCGGCCTTCCTCCATTCTCCTGACATGGCCTCACCTGCGAAGGTGCCTCATCCTTACATGGCCTGTGACCTGCGAAGGCGGGTCTTGTTAAGAGCGGAGATTTTGATACACGTTTTGGCGCGTTCCAAAAAGTTAGACACTTTATCCTTGCCATCGAATATGCATAATGTGACGCGGACATCTTTGGTGGAAGCTGGTGACTGTCCACTGATGGCTGGCATATGTGGTCCACACACACACACACGCACACACACACACACACACACACACACCACACACACACACACGCGCGCGCGCACAGAGACACTCAAACACACACGTCGTTCATTTTTAGGCCATGGTAATCTACTTTCTTTTTGGAATTAAATCAACCAAAGTCTTACCTAAGCAGTTGTATTTCTCCATCACCCTTGCCTATTCCCGTTTTTTTTCAATTTACTGTCTTGAAATGTTCAAGTTCAAAGCCTGTCTGCCAGAAGCTATGCGTCTTGCCACTGTGCCAGAAGCTATGCGTCTTGCCACTGACACTTAAACGAAATTCGAAATTGCGAGGCATGTACAGAACATTTAAAAGGAATTGTTTGTTGAACTGTGTGCAAAGTTTCTTCAATAAATTCAATCAATTTTTGCCCTCCAGTATTTGGATAACCAGAGTAGGAGTAGAGACAAACATGAGATGTCTTTACCAAAAAAAATAATTATTTTCTCAACTTGTTCATAGAAAGTAGTTAATTATAAAAGTGTTGGACTGCGATACAGCTTGACAGTAGATTAATTGGACACAAACAATTTGTGTAAATAAAACAATATAAATATATGTTTAGCTTTAATAATTATTATATACAAAATACATATTTATACGTTTTGGCAAATGCCTTCATCAGTACCAAAAAAAAAAAAAAATCTTTTATAAATGAAAGATAGAAGAGCAAACACAAGTTGGCGACTGTGGAACTATTTACCTAAAAATTATAGCATAGATATATATATAGACATACTTTCAAGAATTCAGAGCTCTGTAAAGTCTTTGCCTTTATTACTATTTTTTGAAAATAATAAATTAGTCTCCGACGTCTTCATCATCATTGCTTCCGTGGCGGAGCATCAGCTCCCGTAACCTAATGCACTTCATGGTGTGCAAACCTGAATAGGACAACGACGCACACTATGCACATTTTCGCACATTTCAAAGAGGTTCAAGGGTCTTGATCAAACATCAAAAATGTCTCCCTAGAGCTCCTACTAGGATTCTAGGAAGGGTGGAAATGGTGAGACCTGTCTAGTAGGATATTTCCCGCCAAGAAAACTGGCAGACTTGAGTCATCCATCATGTCGGATATATTTAAAGACTGGCTGCCCCTTCGACTTGTGGGTAAGAGGTGAAACTTAACGGTTGCAGACCTGGGAATAGCTTCTCATCATTTATGTTGTCATTAGATTACTATTTTAAAAGGATGATATATCTTCCTTTTTTTTTACGGTCAGTGTATTTATTTTTTATATTCTAAAATAAATAAGAGTAAAGTAATCAAGTTAAATTTACATTTTTTAAAATTTGAATGAAATAATACACATTAGAGTTGAACCGGGTGCAGTATTTTTCTTACACCGGGGTCCGTGAGTTGCCTACAGACAGTAGTACACTCTACCGACAGGCCTTTAGACAATAGGCATACAGACAGTCGTACACTCTACCGACAGGCCTTTAGACAATAGGCCTACATACAGTCGTACACTCTACCGACAGGCCTTTAGACAATAGGCCTACAGACAGTCGTACACTCTACCGACAGGCCTTTAGACAATAGGCCTACAGACAGTCGTACACTCTACCGACAGGCCTTTAGACAATAGGCCTACAGACAGTCGTCCACCCTACCGACCGGCCTTTAAACAATAGGCCTACAGACAGTCGTCCACCCTACCGACAGGCCTTTAAACAATAGGCCTACAGACATTCGTCCACCCTACAGACCGGCCTTTAAACAATAGGCCTACAGACAGTCGTCCACCCTACCGACCGGCCTTTAAACAATAGGCCTACAGACAGTCGTCCACCCTACCAACCGGCCTTTAAACAATAGGCCTACAGAAAGTCATACACCCTACCGACCGGCCTTTAAACAATAGGCCTACAGACAGTCGTCCACCCTACCGACCGGCCTTTAAACAATAGGCCTACAGAAAGTCATACACCCTACCGACCGGCCTTTAAACAATAGGCCTACAGACAGTCGTCCACCCTACCGACCGGCCTTTAAACAATAGGCCTACAGACAGTCGTCCACCCTACCGACAGGCCTTTAAACAATAGGCCTACAGACAGTCGTCCACCCTACCGACCGGCCTTTAAACAATAGGCCTACAGACAGTCGTCCACCCTACCGACCGGCCTTTAAACAATAGGCCTACAGACAGTCGTCCACCCTACCGACCGGCCTTTAAACAATAGGCCTACAGACAGTCGTATACCCTACCGACAGGCCGTTAAACAATAGGCCTACAGACAGTCGTATACCCTACCGACAGGCCTTTAAACAATAGGCCTACAGACAGTCGTCCACCCTACCGACCGGCCTTTAAACAATAGGCCTACAGACAGTCGTCCACCCTACCGACAGGCCTTTAAACAATAGGCCTACAGACAGTCGTATACCCTACCGACAGGCCGTTAAACAATAGGCCTACAGACAGTCGTATACCCTACCGACAGGCCGTTAAACAATAGGCCTACAGACAGTCGTATACCCTACCGACAGGCCTTTAAACAATAGTCCTACAGGCAGTCGTACACCCTACCGACAGGCCTTTAAACAATAGTCCTACAGGCAGTCGTACACTCTACCGACAGGCCTTTAAACAATACGCCTACAGACAGTCCTCAACCACACACGTGTCTCTTTATTGATTAATATATTATTGCCTCCGAAAACCATTGAACCTTTTGACCTGAGTTCAACCTTCACGCACGACGCTAGCTGCTTGACATCTTTTTCTTTTTTTCACTCAGTACTAGTACTAGTAATATAGAACAGTTTGAGTAAGGAGAGGACCGGTTGTGAAAAGGAAGCAGGACACACTAGAAGCAAAGTCACACAAGAGAAGAGATACTTCGTTCATTTTATGTTTATATTATGTTCATAACCTCCAAATTTATCATCTACTGCACAGAAGAGACACATCTCCTCGTTCTATCCTATCCATCAGTCCATCCGTTCTATCACTGTGATCCTTTCAAACCCCTAACTTGTACAAACACCCATCAGGCCTTTCGTTCCACCACTGTGATCATGTCAAACCCCTAACTTGTACGATTATCCACCAGGCCATTCGTTTGCCGTGGCTGAAACGCTGAGTTATGCTGGCATCTCTGTTGAAACTATGGAAATGTTTCAGTCGATGGCAGCTGCCTACGTCATTGTGCATGCGGCACACAGAGGCTTTAAGACGGTAAGGGTTAGGTCTCCGTGGGTCGATACTAAGGTATCGATGTTAACTGATTCTACAGTGCAACAATGGGAACGTGTCCATGGGTCGATACTAAGGTATCGATGTTAACTAATTCTACAGTGCAACAATGGGAACGTGTCCATGGGTCGATACTAAGGTATCGATGTTAACTGATTCTACAGTGCAACAATGGGAACGTGTCCATGGGTCGATACTGAGGTATCGATGTTAACTGATTCTACAGTGCAACAATGGGAACGTGTCCATGGGTCGATACTAAGGTATCGATGTTAACTGATTCTACAGTGCAACAATGGGAACGTGTCCATGGGTCGATACTGAGGTATCGATGTTAACTGATTCTACA